ATAATGTCTATATTTTTCACTATTATTGTAAAAAAAGTCAATATCTTTCATTTTTGGTATTTTCAACCTAATTATATATTTAATTACACAGACCACTATTTCTATCCATCTCCATCCCATTTCTTAATAAAAAATGTGAAATAATGAATATACACTCTCATTTAAATATAAGAAAATAAAAATAAAAGTAAAGAACTAATTGCAATTATATTTCCCTTTTTTTTTTTTAAAAAAAAGTGTAAACGAATCCCTTATAAATTATTAGAAATTAGAAATTAAAAAAATTTAAAAAGTTCAAACGAGTCCCAAATATATTATTAAAAAATTAGAAATTTAAAATTTTAATTTTCTTTAATTTTTTCTATTTAAATAAGAGTATACATTCGTCATTTTACAGATTTTATTCAGAAATTGAATGAAAATTGATAGAAATGCTGGTGTAATTAATAGTGAAAAAATATATATAAAAAAAGAAAGATGAACATTTTTCACAATAATATTGAAGGATATAGGCATTATGTGCTAATTACTCTTTTGATAATTTATTTGGGATTTGTTTGAAATTTTTTTAAAGAATTTGAGACTATGATTGCAATTAGTTCTTTATTTTCCTTTTTATTTTATTTAAATAAAATGATATATTCATTATTTCACAACTTTTAATTGAGAAAATTGATGAAAATAACTTTTTGCGAGAATAAAATGTGAAAATAAGGGTAAAAATACCGAAAAATGAAAGGTAGTGACATTTTCTATACAATAATAATGAAAGGTAAAGAGGTTATATTTCTAATTAGCCAAAATATTAAACCATTTCCATGTATTCTTATGTATAGCGTCTAAAATTTTGCTTAATTATATTTATATTCTAGACCACTTGAGTAGGAGAATAAGAATGAAAAAAATAATGTGAACCAAACATATATAAAATATGTGAACTTAGTATTGCCTGTATTGGTAATTTAAGTGCTCACAATTATGATAATGATTTTAATATGAAATGAAAACATACATATTTATTGAAAATAGTACTAGAAGAAAATTCAACGACATTTTAAACACCATGTACTTCTCATAATTTTAATCTTACACTTTGTGATATGACAATTCTTGTATATATATGCTGTTTTAATCTTCTACAAGGCGACAAATTTTTTTTTTTTAAAAAAGATAACGTGAAGTGTAACACTCAAGCTACCATCACAACACGTTAGGAAAGTCGAGTTAAAAGTGTGAAAACAACAAGATTTCAAGTGCGGAAATATAAAAGCCACTTTTGAACACTTGGTGGATAAAATGTGATGACCTTAATGCATTTAGATATGCTAAAAGTTTATCTTCGGATATTATGAATTTTAAGTTTATGTTTGCTATTATTATTTGGTATAATAATATTATTAGTTATTAACTAAGTTAGCAAAATGTTACAAATTGATGACATGTTTACTGATGATGTTACTAGTCACTTTAAAGCACTCATTTTATTTTTTTAAACATGTAGAAAAACTTGATTTGAGTAAGATAACATTGCTACTAAAGAAATAGTTGTTTAAATGAAAATTGAACCTACATTTCTTGCAAAACATATTATGGAAAGAAGCACTTTATGAAAATATCAATGACGAGATAACATATCCAGTTAAAAAATCTTTTAGAGTTTTTTATTTCTTATTTATAATTGATCATGTTCTTTATTCACTTAAATTGATGTTTGAACAATTTCAAAAATACAAAAATACTTTTTGAATTTTTGTTTGATTTTAAGCAAAATTGAAGACTGCAGATGATAATTAATTGAAATGTTGGTGTAATAAGCTAGAAGAATTTTTGAAGCACAACAAAAATTATGATATTACGAGCAAGAGTTATTTTTTTGAGTTGCAAATTGTGAGAAATGTTAAACTATATTAAAATGATGAAACGTTATCTTCAAATGTGTGGACTGCTTATAAAATATTAACGATTGTACTGGTCACAGTTGCATATGTCAAAAGCAACTTTTCAAAGTTGAAGTTAATAAAATCCTACATTTGGTCAATAATATCACTAGAAATGTCGATTGGATTGACTCTGTTGAAAATAAAGTTTTAAAATAAATTGATTGCAATAATATAATTGTTGATTTTTTATCAAAAAATTCTAAAAGAATAAATTTTATTTAGACATTTGAAAGTTTTATATTATTATTTTCATAATTTTGAATACTTTTATTTATTTATTATTAATATATATTTTTAAATATTTAAACGACCACATATTTGAAAATGGCGTTAGAGTCATAAGATCCGTAAAATTTCAAGATCGACCACGTGTGTAGGATATTAATATGTAAACATTTACATACAAGACGTTAATGAAGTACTCTCATGCTTGATTAACGAGTAATGCACGAGGTGATTGAATTGAAATGCTGCAAATCGAAAAATTGTAAAATGAAATGTCAAGTGAAAAAAAGGTTTTGAGATAAAAGCAGTTACTTATAAGTTATATCACAACATCAATAAAAGAGTGACTTTTGTTTTCACTATTCACAAGTCGTTTGGTCATCGAAGTCGAGTCAAATAGCTTTATGGCTCGGCTAAAACGGTTTTTTTTTTAATTTAACGTTTGATTCATTATCCTACATAGGCTTTATGGCTTAGCTCAGCCATTTTTGGATTTTTTTTTTTCCCCTTTTTGGTTTTTTTTTTTTTTTTGTCCGAGCCATATGGCTTTATGGCTCGGTTAAGCTTTTTTTTGGAATTTTTTTTTTCCATTTTACGTTTGATTAGTTTTGGTTACTGTTTACAAGCTAAATGGCTTGACGGCTCGATTCGATTAAGTCGTTTTTTTTAATTCAGTATTTTATGTTACAAATATTAGTTTTAAGCGATTTAAAATTTGTTGGAAATGTTGAAGTGCGGCCATGATAAATATATGATCGATAAATTTTAAATATCAAAATAATTTTACATTAATTGTGAAACGTAAAGTCGTGATTATTTATATTTCTTTTCAATCACAACCTCATTCCAATGTCATTTTTTCAAACTTTGTTTTCCTACAATTTTTCGTTTGATTCGATATTTCGTGATATGAATATCCATTTGAATCGATTTCAAATTTTTTAAAAAAAACTTAAAATGTGATAATAATAAATATATTGTTGATTAAGTTTAAATATAAAAATTATATTAAATTATTAAACGTAAAATAATAATCGTTAATTTTTCTTTTCTACCCCACCCTTAACCCCCATACTCACATCAATTTCTCTCAATTTCATTTTTTTTCAATTTTTACGTTTGGTTCAATATTTTACACTAAATATGTTCATTTTCAGTTATTTAAAATTTATTCAAAAGTTTAAAGACCGACCATAATAAATATATGATTGATAAAGTTTAAATAACAAAAATTATATTGCATGAATTATTAAACATAAAATCGTGTTTTTCAATTTTCCTTCAAAATCTTGAAATACGGCTATAATAAATATATGAAAATTATTTCTATCTTTTGTTGGGAATTATTGCTACATTTGTTTATAATTTACTCTCTTGCAAATTATATAGAAATTTTTAGCTAAAGTAAATTTGAATTATATTTTTCTTTCAATTATTATGTCGAAAACAAATTAAGGATTTTCTAATCAGAAATTTATTTTTTCTTTTTTCAGTAAAAGAAAAAGTATTTGCTACTCTTGAATGATCTCTGTCATGTAGTGATGGTTAATAATCTATTGTGCTTGTTATTTGGAAGCGTGTTACTAGATTTATTAGGATTTAGAATACGATGATATGTGATATTGATATATATTCTGGATATATGCTTCTTAGATTTGATATTATTAATGCGACTATATTTCAATAATTGGTTCTTTTGGAAAGGAAACGACGTCCGATTGCCACTAATGGTTGAGGACTAGAACTAGCATTAGTTTTTGAGGTGATATATTGGTTGACGCATGGACAAGTTCTCAACAATCCAAGTATGGGTGTCAATGTTTTGGTGATCTTTTCGATTGCTTTTTTAGGGTTCCTATTGTGCCTAATGCTTAAATTTGATGTAATTAAAGCTTAACACAAATAATTTTTTTATATAAACGCTATTACGTAGTCAATTATACTATGATGCGTGCAAGACCTTGCACGTGCATCTAACTAGTGTAACTTTAAAATATTGGCTCCTTCAACATGTTTGGCCATAAATAAGTTACTTTTATTAGCAGCCTCTGGTTGATTCTATTCTATTTTTATAACATGAAATATTTGTCTGTCAAATTGCATAGTTCACTACAACGGTGAGAGACGAGGAGCCTTCATTAATCTCCTCGCTCCACCGTTCGGTCCCCATGGACTTCAACATCCACCGTGGCTCTCCTTCCTCCTCCGCTTCCTCCTCTGACCACCACCACCACCACCACCACCACCCTAACTCTTCCACCCCGCACCACCAAAATGGCCATCCCTACTCCTCCCCCTCTCCAACCTCCGACCCCGTGCACTCCTGGTGGGAATCAATTTCCAAAGCCCGTACTCGCATCCACATACTATCCTCTCTTCTCCCCACTGATGAGAAGTCTTCTCTCTCCCTCTCATCTCTCGCCGACACCGATCGCCCTGCCCGCTCCCTCCTCCTCTCGTCTGCCGCCTACTTCTCATTTTCCTCCGCCCTTTCCTCCCCCTCCTCCGGCTCCGGCGAGGACCCACTCTGCCAGTGGCTTTATGAAACTTTTCTTTCTTCCGATCCGGACCTCCGTCTTGTCGTTCTATCCTTTCTCCCCCTTCTTACGTCCCTCTACCTTCACCGCATCCACCACCCCTCCTCTTCAACCTCCGTCTCTCTAGCCGGTTTTGAAGCCGTGCTATTGGCCCTCTATTCCTCTGAAACCAAAGCCCGCAATGGAAAACCTGTAACTATTTCTATACCGGATCTGTCTCAGCCTTCACTCTATCACACCCCTCGGAATCCCATCAAATCAAACCCTAATTCTGCCACTTCTCAAGTTAATAAGCCTTTGGTTGGGATTATATCACCGCCTTTAGAACCACAGAATGCGGTGAAATCAACTAAGCGCGCCTGCATTGTTGGGGTTGCTCTTGATTGTTATTATAAGCAGATCTCGCAGATGCCCAGTTGGTCTAAGCTTGATTTCTGTAAATTCACGGCTGTCTGGGCCGGTCAGGATTGCCCTTGTACTTCAGATTTTGACGAAAAATCTGAAAATATTGTGGAAAATAATCATGGGTTTGAGGAAGATCAGAGGGTCAAGTTCAGTGAGATTGAAAACGCGTTGGAAAGAGTCAAGGATCTGGATATTGAGGATGATAATTCCGAGGATGCAGGTCGGGATGCTAGAATTCCGCTGCCATGGGAGTTGCTGCAGCCAGTTTTAAGAATTTTGGGCCACTGTTTGTTGGGGCCTGTGAATGTAGAGGAGGTGAAGGATGCAGCTTCTGTGGCATTGCGGCGTCTGTATGCTAGAGCGTCACATGATTTGGTTCCGCAGGCAATTTTGGCGACTAGGAGTCTAATTCAGCTCGACAATAGAGAACGCAAGGCAGTGAAGGCAGCAGCAGCAGCAACAGCCAGTGCCCCTGGGTCCAATGCAAATACGCCAAGTAAGGCTAAGAAGCCCGAGATCCTTTTGGTTTCTAAGTAATTATGTCAGTAGGTGTATGGCTTCTAAACCTGTCATTGGCTTTGATCTTTGTGAAAATGAATGTCTTTTTTATTTATCTTAGTTTTTAACTGCTCATATGAATGTATCATATGTATCTATTGCCTTGAGTATGTTAGATTGAAGTGGTTGATGTCACATGGCTAAAAACCTGTGTAAGATTATAATTTTTTTAATTTCGAATTTCCTTGTCTTGTCAATGCTTGGTGCTTGATCAACTCTCTACATTATTCTTTAATATATGGCTGAACGAACACGTAACGGTTGTGTAACCAACTTCTCTGTTTTTGAAACTTATTTGGGTTACTTAACAGGCATTCAAAGTGTTAACGCTGCTTGTCAGTGATTTAGGTCTTGTTAGTGGTTATTTGCAGCTATATTTTTTGTACTCTTGTTCATCTGGTTTAAGCATACTGCTATAAGAGATAAAGTACAACCCATGTTATGATTCTCTATTTTTAAATAAATGCTCTGCACTTATTTATCAGCATAAATGAACACTGCCAAATTTGAAATAGCTTAGATTGAATCATATGCTGACTCCACTTAGGTTCTGGTGTCCCCTGTTATTTGTAATTTACAACAAATTGGAATTTGGAAGTCCAATGATCAATTAAACTTTAGAACTTTTGTCTATAGAGATTAATTAGAGGCTTGAACGCTTCTAAGTTTAGAACATAAGAGATTTGATCTCTACTTATATATCAAAGTTAAACCCAGGAAGTTAGCTAATTGATATTGAAAAAATGGAAGAGGTTATAGTGCATGATTCTCCATTCTGTTACTTTTCTTCTCGTATATATTTATGCAACTAAGATGGTGGCAGGAAAATAAAAGAATCAATACTTTAGCATGTATATTGGAATAGATAAGAACTGAAGCTCAGATTGTGTATTTGGGATAGAGGGAGTATTAGGTTAGGATTGCTGTTTGTACCAGTCGATAGAAGAGGAAATGTGCATGTTGCATACATCCCTCCTTTTATGGTTGTACTATTAGAGTTATATATCTATCATTAAAGATGTGTGATGCACTTAATGGTGGCTCAAACATGAATGAAAATTATTTGGGCCCAACTAGCGAAGTGATGAATTGACATGTATGTAAAATGAAGGAACCTGATTTAACATTTCTTACCCATACAAACTTTCATCTCTTTATAGCAACTGCATTAATTGTTACAAATTTGGCTTCTATTTCTAGGACATTTATTTAACTGAATTTGATGCCAACCTAGATATCCTGATTGTTAGCACGTCATTTATGTTTTTCTACTGATTTGTTTTCTTTTCTTACCTTTGCCGACGTTGACCTGAAAGTAGCTACAGATTGTAATTCTTACTGTTATTGTTGATGAATGGCTGGAACAACAATGGGAGTACTGAATGTAACATCCTAGGAGCAGGCCAAACTAGTAATATCTTGAATTTCGCACATAAGCCTTTGTAGATCAAAATGATATTTATTTGGTTTGGTTCCTATAGTTGACTAATGGGGTAGCTTAACCCACTTAAACACGCTTTTTAAAATTATCACTGGTAAATTTGAATGTGAATGGCTTTTACGAACACAGTATGTAATTGGCCACTGTTTGATGATAACTATGAGAGAACTGACTCAGATGGTTTGGACACAGTCATTGAGGCTGTTAGATGTACTCATTGGGAGAAACAACAGAGTATTAGTGGTGAATTTAGAGGAGAGGATGTCCAAAAAAATACGTGGATCTTGATAATTGAAGAGGGTTAGTGCCTTTGATTGAGTTCTAGGAGTAGCAGATCCATGTCACTGACCCAAACAAGTGTGAGAAGAAGCTTTATTGAGTTGACTTCAGTCAATTTGAGGTTTTTTTTTTTTGAATAATACTATGTGTACAATCCATGGTTGACAAGGAATTTGACAATCCATGTTAATTCAAATTCGAATGGGCGGGAAAGTGTGTAGTGTTTAAAAAGGGTCATTCAACCTTCAACACGTGGCACATTGTCAAACTTGATGTCAAAAAAATTGTACTTGTAGCATGGTTGTTTTTTTTTTTTTGGTGGGAGTGATGAGGTTTTAAGAAGACGATTAAGAAGCCAATCTTATGCTTACTCTAAAGTAGATATGAAGTGAATCAGCTGACAGTATTGAGTGAAAAGAGACAGCAATGCTATTGTAGCTTACATGTGTAAAATGGGGCTAATTATATCTGCTGTCTGTTGTGAAATGGGGGCAAAAGTGGGAAGAATCTGATGTAAATGATTGCCGGTTAGTGATGCCGTACTCTGAAGTTAAATTTAATATATAGTTGAAACTGCACTAAGCACATTCAATCAGTTTAGAAGCCCGCAAATACAATTTATGCAGGTGACCAATGCTTTCTTTTTCTTCAACAATGAAAATGAAAACCAATTTGTTAGGAATTGAATCCTTTGTTGAGATCTAGTGGTAAACGTATTCAGATGAAGCCATGTAGGTAAATTGATGGGAAGTTAATAGGGCAACACCTATTCTATTTACGTTATCAGTGTCTACTGTTATATATAGGCTCAAGCAGCTTGGGATCAGTTCGTGCGCACTTTCTCTACATCTTGTTGAAGATTGTCTTGAGACTTGAGAGAGAGTCTTGAATGCATGCCTTTTCGCTTGTAAAACTTTTTGGGAAACTGGATGAGCGCAGCTTGTTTAGTTGTAAACTGTCAATTGAAATGTAAATCAACCTAGTTGGCTAACTTTGGTTTGAATTTGCCTTGACAATAGTTTCATATGACTTAGCTCCAAGTATGAACTGTTTCTGAACGATTTTATTGCTCTTTTATGATGTCAAGCCAACAGTGAAGCCCCTAAAGGTTGGATTAGAGGCTGATTAACACCCCTAAAACAAGAAGTTTTTTAATCAAGTTTCTCCTCGCGGTTATCTTTTAACCATTAGCCAAGTGTTGTTGCCGAACTACATAAAGTGGATTTCAAGAAGTCCACAAAAGATAAAAAGCAAATTTCCTGATGCTCACCTGCACTATTAGCCCACAAGAACACGGAAATGGAGTGGTTCTTGTCGAATAGAATGTGTAATCCAAGAATTTGTTCTTGTTCGATGGGTTGATGCTAAGAATTCAGATGGAAAATTAACAGAACTTTGTACAGAATAGTTGTCAGATTGCTGAATTTAGGTTTCAGTGTGCTAATATCTGTTCTTGGTGGTAAATCCCAATTAAGTATGAATTGGTTCAAACTGGATTCTTGCTAACTTTGATCCTAACAAGTTGTTATTGTGATATTTACAATCCGCAATTTCTACCGAACTTGGACTGTGAAACATACATCTAAACTGATGGCACGTATGTAACACTCGCATCTCATCTATTAGTTAGTGATGTACTACTCTATCATAAGCCAAGCTTTGGCTTCTTCTTATTGAGGGAGTTCATTCGTCAAAAAATATAATTAATTTGTGAAATTTTTCGTACTTGTACTCTTAATAGTTGAACTAGGATTTTGTCTTTTGTTTTTTTCCTTCCTATTGCTTTACGGGGTTTTTATTTTCATTTGTTACGTGCTTGTTGTGAAAATTTTCGCACTTGTATCAATGTAGTCGATGACAGAGATATATTGGAAGCTTTTTAATTTAGTTGGTGCAATCATGCTACATGTATAACATTTGTTGACAACTACATATTTGACACCATCATATCCATCTATTTTAAAATTTGTTAAAAACTATTTTTTATATCAATGGTTCGAATTTTAACACATGATTGTCAATGAAGGTTGACAATAATGTTTGTACAACTAACTTTAATGTAGTTGGTGGTGGATTGAGAAGTTCACGTTGATAGTCGGATTTTATTTTATTTTATTTTTATTTTTTTCATTAGAAAATGAGTAGGGATATGAAGTTTGGTACATCTATTTTGGTCCAAGGGATCAACTATGTTACCTGTCGAAGAGTTGAGATTTGATGTCCAACATGCTGTCCACCCAATGATTCATTGACCCATCATTCGTACTTATTTTATTGCGGACTTGTCCAATTGGATGTATATCATTAATTTATCTAATGTTGGGATTCAATTGTCCAAAAATAATGGGAGATGAAAACGCAAGAGTATGTAAACGTTAGAGATATTTGTTGAAATTTTGCCATTACTAATAATTTCAAAGATTGACACTCTAAAATAGAAATCATTTCACACTTGAAAATCTTTGGAGATGCTTGTAGTCTCTATAGTATCTTTCTCTTGAACAAGCTATATAACCTCTCGGCTATTTTTGTAACGTCTAGATTCTTATGGAGTTTTGCGAGAAGGGTATATTACACGTTTATCGTAACTTATAAATTTTATATGTATATATTTGTAAATTGGGTAAATTTCTACTTAATTTAGTATAAATATTATCATTATAAGTAAAACCTAGATTTGGAGAGGGAAGATTAGAGGTGATAATAATTTCATCATAATCTAAAAGAAAACATGTTCGTTTAATTGCTTTTATTTTTCTTAGTTAATATTAGTTTTAATCTAACTCTTTACTTATAGTTTTGTATTCGTCAAGTAAGAGGTATAGTTATTTAAATCGACATTAGACGATAATACACTTACCATTAAATAAACAAAAACTAGCACTCGTCTCAGTAAAATTATGTAACAAATTGAAAATCCAAATCGGAGTAAAAGCATGAATGTGATGGGATGTTATTTTTCTTCCATGTCAATAATTTGTCTGGCCAAAACATTATAAAATGCAAACGGATCGCACAAAATCGCTAGTAATAACATTATTTTTGGCTTCCAATGACATATTTTTCACCACACACACTTGTCAGCCAACTCTTTTGCTCTTTGTACAATCAAACCTGAACAGATAATGGAATGTTGCTTATTCTCTGAACATTTAGATAATAGTTTTTAACTAACTTTTCTCCCATCATTTCTAAGGTTGTCCAATCGAATATATCCAACATGCTATTAGAGTATGTTTGGTGGACTGATATAGTTGAG